CTCTAGCCTAGGCAGATTACTCTAGGCACTCTTGCTGAAAAATTTTATTTGCACAATAGCAGAACCCTGGTTCACCTTGCTCCTTTCCTCAATCTCACACAGCTTGTACCTCACAAAGCTGTCACCTCCCCCTCTGTTTTGGGGGTTCAAAATGCTACTTATGTTTCAACCTTCTGACCCTTCCTTTGAGACTTATGCTTTGTGTATGACTCACTTCTTCCTATACCTTAATATATTTGCATGCTCTTTTTCCCGTTAATCCATTTCCAGTTTATTTCATGTTAAAATTATTAAAACATACAAAAGAGAAAACTGAAAAATTTCCCTATATACGTATAAAATAGCTAACTTTGGAGGTTGGATATGGTATTGGAAATTTTTAACAACTGAATTAAAAAACAAAAACGTCCTATCAGAAAATTTTTAACACATACTTGTTTCCACCTCCATCTGTACCTGGACTAAAACAAAGGCATTAAAAGTAATAATAGCAATAATAGTGATATTATAAGGTTAAATTTTAATAATTTGATATCTAATTTAATAATTTAATTTAAATAATTATATTGCAAGGCTAAATTTTGAGCCTTTATTTTTCTATTTATTTATTTTTATTTTATATATGGCAGCAGAATGCATTATAATTCTTATTACACATATAGAGCACAATTTTTCATATCTCTGGTTGTATACAGAGTATATTAACACCAATTCATGTCTTCATACACTTGCTTTTGATAATAATGATCATCATATTCCACCACCATTAATTACCCCATGCCCCCTCCCTTCCCCTCCCACCCCTCTGCCCTAAAGTTCCCTCTATTTCCTCCCATGCTCCCTCTTCCTATCCCACTATGAATCAGCCTCCTTATGAGCCTTTAGTATCAACCAAATACTACTTTAATTTATAAACTTGTTTAGAATTCATAATGAGCAAACAGAATAGAGTTATTATTATTATCTCCATTTAACACCTATGGAAATAGATATAGAAAGGTTGAATAATTTGCCCAGGATCAAAGCAGTGGGACAAGCCTTTGATCCAGGGCAATTTGATTCCTAATATCAAGCTTTACACTATGTTCTTTCTAATGTATGTTCCAGATATTCTTATAAGTGACTTTTCAACAGACTGAAAGTAGGTTAAGGGAATGTCACTGTGGTAAGGAGAGTCCTTAGTGAGTCAATCCTGATGAAGGACAATAGATCCACATGCTAAAGCTGTGACTGAAATTTCAAACTCTACTCAAATTTTGCAAATGACTTGAAAATTCTTACCTCAGAATGACTGAAGCTTATTAACCATGGTATTTAATTTGGAGTAAATGCTAAAAATTGTGATACACCTAACAGTTTCTTAAAGAAAACTCCTCTGATGAGTCCTTAATCTCACACACTTGCTTCTTATTTTCTTTATAGCTCATTTTCCTTACTGCACCACCAAAATCAGAAACTAAGCAAACCCATTGAAAAGTATAACATATAGAAAATACAAAGGAAAAGATGTCAAGTGAATCCTCAGGGTGATACTGAAAAGGAGGTCTCAGTGACGAAGTATGCACCAGGACTTCAATAAAACCAGTGCAGGGGGCTGGGGATGTGGCTCGAGCTCGCCTGGCACGAGTGCGGCCCGAATTCGATCCTCAGCATCACATACAAAGATGTCGTGTCTGCCGAAAACTAAAAAATAAATATTAAAAAAAATTCTCTCTCTTAAAAAAAAAAAGAAAAAGAAAAGAAAAAGAAAACCAGTGCAGGCAGAAGCATGTCATAGAGCACCAGAAAAAGTTTCTCCAAGAAGATGAAACTGATACAGGCAGAGTGAAGAGATCTAATGAACTGATAGAGATGAATCAGTGGTAGACACAGAAAACTAAGCAACCCAAAATAGAAACAACTCACTCTAAGAAAAATGAAAGCTAAGGAAAAAAGATTAAAAGGAAAGTAATAATGTTTATGACTGCTCAATTCTGTGCAGCACATATAAAAAAAAAAAAAAAAAAAAAAAGGTTCAATCAATGCTCTCTCTCTCCTGCCTGTCTTCCTCAACCATTCTCAATAAGGTGATCAACTTCTCCTGGGATCAGTTTGCCTAGAACTTTTGAAATTTAGCACTTCAAGTCCTCTACTCCAGAAAACCCTTAAGTCCTAGGCCTATCAGGAGTTGGGCACCCTAAATCCTAATAAATAAAAAAGTACTTATTGCTATAGAGCTACTATGTATATGGCTTCTGTATGGTATGCTGAAAAAAAAAACTTTTTAAAGACCAGACTAAATCATGGCAAAGTACTAAATATTAAAGGAAAGTTTTAGATTCATAATGTCAAAAAAAAAAGTAGTTTACTATAGTGACTTACACTTCAACAAAAAAATGTTTCTTAAAAAGCATTAAAAAGGAAGAAGTAAAAACTTGGAAAATTTTTGGTAAATTAAATAAAAAGACAAAACATACATGGTGTTTCCATCTTCAAAAATGTAAAAGAAAATAACACTGGAAGCAAAACATCATAAAACTCCAATTTAAGAGTGAAAAACATGGTCATGAAAGATGGCGTTAGATTGGTAGTCTCATGTGTTCTGAACTCACTAAATATTAAAGATTAATTACAGAAAAAATAAAAAAACAAACACAAAAAGATACTAAATGAACAGATCATGTTAGAAAAAATTAAATGAAGAAAGCAATTAGTACAAAAATATAATAAAATTAAAGAAAAAATGTAACGTTGACAAATAGTATGAACAATCAAGAAAAAATAAACTACTGTCAAAAGCAATCACTCAGTTCTGATTATTGCTCATCAATACCCTTATTCCATTCAAATATAAATACAATTCAAATTTTTGTGGCAATGAATCAGAGACATAGTATAAGGGTAACCCAGGTAAAATGCTTTGATTTTCTTGAATTATCTGGATTAAAAGCAAAAGAATCTTGGATTCATGCATACACGAAGAAACCCCCAGAGTATCAGTCATGGCTAAGAAAGCAAGAGAGAAATTAAACAGGAAATAAAATTTAATTCAAAAAAATAAAACATTTTAAGAAGTTTAATTTAAAAAAAGAGAAAAGAAAATGAAAATGTAATTGTACCTTAAAGAACCCTGCTTCAGGACCACACCTGTCATATACATTCCTGGATTTACCTATTGCCATTATAACACCTTGCATGTTCGGTGTCATCATGATCTGCCACAGGGATTCAAAGAATTTTTGAAAATTAACACAAAGAAATTAAAAACCAAAACAATTTCTTTACATGCAAGGTAAAACTCCTTTCTTTTTCAGTACTTATAAATTATGTGCTGCATGTTTAAATTAGTGGATATGATGTGCATGTAAGCATCTTTCAGAATCATCTGTACAGGGCACAGCTGGCTGCCTCAGTGTCCATGCAAACTGCAAAAAGGCATCATCCTCTCCAAACTGAATTTCAAAGAGGTACTCTTCTGAAGAAACTAATTAGAAAAATGTGCTGCTCTATGAGAAAACCATTCAGAAAAAAGCAACACCTCTTTTTTTGTTTCTTAAAAAAAGATGCTTCTTCTCCAAGGCTTGGTGAGTTTAGGAAGAACTCAATTTTAATCCCACTTCTGCCCCTTGGCACATCTGTACCACCTGTACATCTGTAAACAGCAGCCCTGTACAAGTTATTTTTAATAGTTCCAAGATACATGCACTGTTAAAATGTCACTCCAACAAATTAAAAAACAAAATAAACAAAACATGACTCTGCCAAAACATAAGCACTTGCACAAGAAAACAGTGTTAATGATTAATCACAACTCTTAAATGCCAGAAGAATCCTTCTGCCATTTAGGTGCCTGATCAAGAAATTAACATTTTATCATTAAAAACATGGCAGTTTTCATAATTTTTAAGATCCAACATAGAAATAAAATAGTTATTTGGAGAACTAGGGTTGTAGGTCAGTGGTAGAGCACTCACCTAGCAAGTGTGAGGCACTGGGTTCAATTCTAAGTACCACATATAAATAAAATAAAGGTACATTGACAACTAAAAAAATTTTTTTAAAAAAATAGTTAACTGGAACAATGTGCACTATTAAGTACTGAGTATTTGTTTTCAGTACAGCTTATTATTCTTAGCTGTTTATATTTGTAAATATCTGCAAAATGAAAACTCAGTGCTCCACTAAAGCTATCTTAGAGCAATCAAGAGATTGTAGCTATTACCTTTGATTCACTGAACCTATTACTCATAGTTTTATTTTGGATTGTACATCAAGAGTTGCAATATATCTAACATCACCTGTTAGAGAAAATCCTCTGACCAGTTCCCATCTCACAAACTACTAATTATTCTTTTTATGGCCATGTTTTCTTACATTGACACAGTGATATTATTGTCTTTATGATACTTCTAATTTTGGGGATTAACTGTTACATAATAGTAATTATAACCTTGGAGTAAGTCTGCAAAAAAAGTTACTTGGAATAGAACATTTAATACGTACTCAATTTTCATGCACACGCATAAAAACTAACAACAGAATCAAAATATTTTGTTGTTTTTTTTTTCTAAATCACTTCACCTCCCCTATAAGCAAGGTCTCCTTTGCCATTACTATTCAGTAGCAGTTGCACTGGTGCTACTTAAAACAAAACAATTTTAAGAACCTTAAGAGAAGAGTGGAAAAGGGATGAAAATAATCTTTTGAATCTGATTCTGAAGAACACCATCATAAGAAATAAAAATGCCTCCAGACTATTGACATCTGAAAAAAACTAGGTAGATAAGCATAATCAATGAGGAGATAGAGAAAAAATAACAAGGGGTGCCAAAGTGTGTAAGACACTGTGAGGCAATCATTCCACTCACAGTTATAGGGATAGGGTATGGTGGCAAAAATACCAATTATCCAACTTGCAATCATGCTGCAGGATTTTCAGGTAGATAATGGTGGGCAAAATATAATAAGTTATTAAAGTAAAACAGAAAAGAAAAATAGAAGTTATTTTAAATGCAAAAATTTTAATATAATTAAACCTTATTAATTTATCAACCTGAGAGTAAAAGGATTCTATTTCTGCAGAAAAAAATCGACTCCAAAAACATGTTTCTTGTATATTCTCTATATGTTCTACTTAAATTTTCATTTGACTCCAAAGTTCTGTTAGTAAATGATAAAGCAGTTTCACACCACAGGTGGCAAAACTGTATGTTACGCAGCAACAGACATAGTGTGCAGGTATAGGCATGCCTAAAATACTTGTATTAAACAGCAAAAAGTAATAAGTTAGGGTGGTGCAGAGTACTGTCATAAAGGTACCTCATCATCATACCCCCCCTCCTTTGATTCAATCATGAATTTCCCTACGTGAGGAATCGCCACCTCTACAACTCGCTGGCTAGAAGGTAGTTGGCTTGTGGTATTTTCAGATTTCTGCAGAAGAAAATCATTGGTATGAGCATTAGAAAAGAGAGCAATAGAAACACAAAGCTGAAATTCATAGATTCTTCACTCTTTTAACAAGGCCGACATTTGCTAGATTTAATAAAATCAACCAAAACTAAAAATGAGAAGCAAAGTTTTAAATTAAATAGTAATACAAAAATCTCCAGTCTTTCCCAAACATTTAAAACTAGCTTTTTCACAAAGTACTTTCAACTCTAAGTACTTAAAAGTAATAAATATATAAAAATAATACTCAAGTTGTATTTCCTACTTTTGCTTGTTTGGCTGAAATAAAACAATTCATTAACTCCAAAAAGTTTTGCTTGCTATAAAAACAAGATTATGATCTTCTCTAAACCCAGCAGAGTTTCTAAGGTATTCTCCTTATGGTTTACCTTTCTAATAATTGATTGTATATAAAGTTAATTGCCCTATTCTGATGTGGTTAAACTCACTCTGTCCAACCTAGTATGTTTGAGTGTCCAACAAATTCTTGATATATGTACATCTTAAGTGTCCAAGGAATTGTTGAAACTAAGGACAAGTTGCTAGAAAGTAATAATCATTTTTAACAACTCAATCACATTTATTCCTTTTTATCTTTTCATTGTTAATAAATTCTATGCATCCCACTAATTCATACTAACAGAATGTCAGTGTGAAATTTAGAATAGTCCACTCAAAACCAAGATTCATTAAAAATACTATTTGGATTTTACATAGTCTTATTTTATTGAAAGACTGAAAACTGGCATATCCACTATTTATTAAGAAGCAAATGTCAAAAAAAGAAATGTGCCTGAAAGCAGCTTATTTAAGTAATTTCAATTTACATTGGGTTTTCCTAAGCAAAGAAAAACCTAAGAATAATAAGGCATTTTACTTTCATTTGAAGTACAGGCAAATTTTGGTGAGATAAACATTTTCTGACTTTCTAGAAGTATAAAATTCTGAAACAGTTTAATTAAACAATAAAACAAAACTAATGACCAAGACCATTACTGCCTCTTTCATAAAAAATGTTGTTTCATTTTTAGAAAATGTTTCCTTACTTCTCAGAATCCTCAACTTTTCAAGAAGAAATAAGCAACCTACATTGCTGCTGTGATCAGGAGATAATAGTCAGCTAACCCAAACCCTAGTGTATAAGTTGTTTTACAAACTACAATTATTACCAATATTATACTATTTTATTATATGCTTGAAGTTATTTGAATAATTATAACTCAATATTACTACCATATATAATCTATAGAGATATGCTCAAAATCAAGAATTTTTGGTTCTTCTAGAATATGAGAAGAATTTTGCTGGGTCTCCATTCACAAGAGTGAAACATAATCAGGTAGAGTAAGAAATCTGTACGGAGTTTGTGATGATTAATTCCCATTAGCAAACCAATCCAAAAAAAAAAAAAAACACATAACTATCTTAAGTACAGAAATACAAACTTAAAGCAAATATCAACTGGGAAATGTATTACTTAGAATTCTGGTCATTATAAAACAACATATTACCTTATAAGGAAAAAACTGCAGTAGGGGTTTTAGAAGGATTTCCTGTTAAAGAGTTTCAATAGCATAATGCTGATAAAAGTCAAACAAGGGAAGAAACTTTAGCAGCATAAAATAATTCACTACCATTTATCAAATTTAAATTTACTAAAGTACTATAAATATTTTTTCATATAAGGAATTAAGGGTTCACTGAAACAAAGTACATGTTGATCTTTCTCTATTATTTTCAGACCTCAAATGAACACATAAAGAAAGGCTAAACTTGAAAAGTTAAAAATCAAATATCTCAGTCAATAAAGGGCAAAAATAATTAAAATATAAAAATTTTTATTAATTTCTTGAAATCTATTAACTATAAGACTTTTCAAAAGGGGTTTCATCTGAAGGGTGGTTAAAAAGATATAGAACTATAATAATATGAACATATTAATTAATATGTCATCCCTTTCAGCAATTCAACTATGGGGAATCTAAGGAAATATAGCTGGAAATAGGAACAAAATTGTGTTTTTACAGCCTATTTACAATAATATAAAAGTAGAAACAAACACACAGTGGAAGAATGGATTAAGAAAACAATTTACTCAGTGGAATAACACTCAGCAGTGCGTTTTGTTTTTTTTTTTAAATGCATTTGTAACAGAAGGAAATGATTATGTTACAAGGTTAGGTGGATGAAAGAAAAAAAGGCAAGATACAAAATTTCATATGAAGTCACAATTCAACTACAAAACTAAGCCCCAAAATTATGTTTAAAAATAAGAGTGAAAAAAAAAAACAAATAAGCAAGTGAGGGGAAAAAAATCATATACTTAAAAGCCCAATCACTGACTTTCAGCAGTAAGTGGGACTATGCATGATTCTTTCTTAGAGTCTATTTTTTATAATTTTTAAAATATCCTGAAGTAGTCCATGTAAAATTAAGGACATTGTTCTAGAAACAAACTGTCTAAACATTTGGAGACTGTCTACAGTTTCTGGAATTCTAAGCTTTCCTGGGAATTTTCTTATTCTAAGGCTGGAACTTAATATGTTGTAAAATGGCTAGAACTGAAGTAACAGAAGGAACTTTCGAGTCTACTGGATGATATGCCAGGAGCTGTAAAATGTTCTTCATTAACTCTATAATCACCCCCACTTTATGGAGAACTGAGACTTAGAGAAATTAAGCAAATTTTCAAGGTTGAAATAGTAGTAAAAAAAATGATCAGTATTTAAAAACCCAAAAACACCTGATCCCAAAGTTTGAAGACTTTTAATTTGGTTTCTAATATATACTAAATTTAAATGTGAAAAATACATTATGGATGACCATGAGACCAACAACCACACTTCTGATAGCCAACACTAACAAATTTTTAGATGTGCTGGAGGATCAAATAGACAGTGGGACGAACTCTACATGCTACCCAGAAGATAAGGTAGATAAATATTCATGCTGTTTTTCTATCATAATCACTTACTACCATCCTCTTTTTTAAAGTAGAGATAATGCAGTAGATTGCTAGTTTATGATTCCCACAGTAATCAAAATTTAAGTGCTGATTTCTGTGAATTTAAATTACAGATGATTAGTCAAACTAAAAAAAAATGACTCTACATTAAGCTAAGTAATGATTTTAAGTTTTCTGATAGTAGCTAAAAGGATGACATTTATTAACTCTATTTTAGGTTTTAACAAATCAAAGTTTGTAGCAAGAGCCTTATTAGTTTTTATTATTTTTTTAAATACAGGGCAAAAATATTTTTCCTTTGTATTTCTTTCTTTCTTTTTCCTTTCCTTTTCTCATTTCCCCAAGAAGCATAATTCCCAGATCCATTAAGCAAAGTATTTCCCAAGAAAAGATTAAACATTAGCAGATGTTGATCTTAAGTTTACTGATAGCCTCTAAAGCATCTGAAAAATTTGGAAATATAAAAAAATCTATTATACTTAATGTACTTTTAAATGGTAAGATGATATTAATACATTTTCAAATTGTAAATAAATTCTGATTATTTAGTTCATGAAAACACAACTGACATAATACTTTATTTACTGGACATTTTAGTTAAGTGAGGTCATATCATATTGAAGGTCTCATGATAGGTTATTGTTCAGACTGAGCTCACTCACTGAGAAAACTATGTATTGAAAATTATGGATTTTCCTGCTATTTTTAGTTTTACAGGAGAGAATTCTTCAAATACTTAAAGGAGCCACCATAAAATGTACATTAGTACTCTTTACATTTCCTAGTTAAGTAAAGGATCAATGACTACAGAAATTCAATGCTTTTGTAGTACCAAACAGCATTCCTCAGGAGGTCATATTTACTGATAAAATAACAAAACACCACTATGCTCAATTGAGTGTTATAAAAAGAGAAACTTGAAAACACAAAATAATGACAATTGTTTCACAGGATACTCTGTAACTATGCACAAACTTCTTGGAACATCATATTTATCCTGATAATAGTGCTCTAATCTACAGTATGTAGTAGTCTTACTACAAACACATTTCATGGAACAATGGAATTTATATCATAAATTTCCAACTATTTAAATGTAAGTAGATTACAGATGGAGGGAAGGGAAAGGCACTGGAGAAAGAGTTGTTGCTTTTGTTAAGTTCCAAGTCAAATGGACAATTTTGTCTATGATTATGATTCTTCATAATTTGACAGGTAGAAACTTAACAGAAAAGCATCCTTAAAAGAATAAGCTAAGGAAATTACATCCCAGGGGTCAGGCGACTTGTCCCCGGTTCAGACACCATGGCAGAGCCGGAAGTGGCCTTCTCTCCTGGCTCGGGCTGCTTTCAATTGCACTGGAGGAAATGTTGTGAGCCTGGCTATGTTCAGAGAGCCAAAAGAAAAGTTCTTACCGACTGCAAAACTGTTTCAGGACTTTTATCTTCATGCTCATGTGATGCCTTGGTAATTATTCGAATAGTTTCTTCTTTCAAGTGCTTTGAGAAATCACTTCTTGATGGCTGCTCTAGATATTCTGGTTCTCCTGCTTGTGCTTCATGAGAAAAGAATCAATTGTATATCTAATATGAATCACAGAGTCTAAACTAGGTTGAATGTGTTATTTATATCTAATAACCAAATTTTAGTCTTCTATTTAAAATAAAATACATCCTCTAATATATAGCACTTCCCCCAAAAAATTTACCCAAAAAACCCCAAAATGACACAAAACCAAAAAACCAGAGTACCAAAAGTACTGAAATAATTATACAGAAAGCACTCACTACAGTTGTAAGTTAAGAAATTCACAGTACATTTTTCTGGAATGAGAAGTACCAAAACCTCATTCTGGAAAAATCTCCAGCATTTTATAAAACAAAAACAAATAAACAAACAAACTTTCTTTTGGTTTGTACAACAATCCTGGGCTGGCTTTCCATGGAAGATAAAACATCTTTTCATATACCTACCTGACAAAATCCTAACCCTGAACAAACCTAACCTATTTTTTCTGAACCTGACCCTGGCAGCTGAGTACTAGAAAGAAAAGCAAGCACAAATTGGCAAACTAGTGGTAATATAATTCACGACTTCAAATACCATCCACGTAAACACTTTCAAAGTCATCTCTAACTCCTACCTATCTTTTGAGCTCCAGACCCACAAATCCAACAACACTCTTAATATCTACTGGGTATTTCATAGCTAATCTCCAAATTCACATATGACCTAGGAGAATAAAGCTATCAGTGGAGCTTCTGTCCCTGTCTCAAACGTCACCTTGTGTCCTTTGCTCACAAGGTCCACATGTGAGCCTTTTTTTCTTTCCCTAGTACACTGAAGGAGAAGTTTACCTTCCAACATTTGGAATTCTCCACATATTCTTCCCTCTGCCTTTAGGCTCACACACACTCTTACACTTCTCATATAGTAACTTTTGCTTAAATAACAATTCTGTATGGAAGTGTGGCTGGACTACAACAGCCCCCCACCACAGCAGGATTTCTCAGCCTCAGCATTGTTGAGATTTTCATTCAGATAACTTTGTGGTGTGAAGGATTGTCCTGTGGACCCCAGCATCTATGCACTTGGTGCCTCTAATACTGTTCCCTTCTCTCAAAGTATGACAACCAAAAATGTCTCCTGCCTCGTAAAATGTCTACTCAATGACAAAATCATTCCCAGGTGGAAACCATTGCTCTGAAGAAAATTAAACTTTCCTTTTAAGTATCATTTACCACAATCATAACATTATTATTATTATTATTATTATTATTATTTATTATATTTGTTTAAAGTCCACATCCCCTGCTAAACTGGAAGAATCACATGAGCAGAGATGCCATCTTCTTTTTGTACTCCTAATTCTTCAATGTCTAGCATAAAATAGGAACATTATAATGGAATGAATGAATCAATAAGTTAGTGAATGGATATAAAGAATAAGAAGGTACTGTAATCTTTTCATATTGGTGATAAGAGTCCTTGTCAATTACCTTGTAAAACATAATAGGGCTACTGTCATCCTCCCTAATGCTCTTTAAATTCAGAAATCAAAGGGAAATATTAATCACAAAGGAGTACTACTACGATGTGAAGATATATGCGGGCCATTCATGTGACCAATAATTTTAATTAAAGCATTTAACTATGTGCCAGGCACAGGGAATGTGAATATGACAAAAGAGCCAATCTCATCTCCAACAAGTTTCAGTCAATGTGGAGAAAGTCACTAACCAAATAATCACAGATATAAATTGAAGCAATATTTTGACAATACATTAAGGAACAAAATCAGGGTAGAGTGGTATGTTTGGGCAATTTAGTTAGTGGGTATGTTTGGGCAATTTGGTTAGTGGGATACAGGTTAAAGTGACCTTTAAAAGCTGAAGGATACATGAGTTGTTTCACAAGAGAGAAGAACAAAAAGGCCAAGGAATGAGCATGAGCTGAATCTAGAATGGGTGGTAGGGCTGGAATACAGTGTCTGAGTGGAGACATGGCAATAGATGACACAGGTAGAGCAAAAACATCAATAGCCTTGATGTCATGTAAAGTGTTGAGAGTTAATAGGAAGTGAGCTAAGTATTAAATATAATGGCAACATGATAAATTAAAAAAAAAACTTCTGGAGGTAAAGTGTAGCTCAGATGGAGAATTCTTGTTCAGTATGCATAAGATCTTGGGCTCAATCTTCAACACAAGTTAAAAACAAAAACAAAAACAAACCTCTGGTTACAATGTGAAGAATGGATTAGAGAGGAGAGTAAAATTCGAGGTCAGTAATGGAACATGGGGATATTAGAGCAATATGTAAGAAAAATGACTGTACTTCTAGATAGCAGAGCTCTAAAAGTAGAAAACAGTGGCTAAGTTCAAGACATATTTTGGACACAAAGGATTAAAAGCTACACATTAAGATGATTCTAAATTTTTGGCATAAATAACTTGGATGCGATAACTAACACTATTAAAAAACAAAATAAAACACCAGAGGTGGTGTTATAAGTTAGAAATGAGTAGACATGAGGTGTCCCCCCAAAAGTTCCTGTTGTAAGACAACACAAGAAAGTTTAGAAGTAAAACAATTGGGTTATGACAGTTTTAACCCAATCAGTATACTAATCCCCTGATAGGGATTAACTGGGTGCTAATTGTAGGCAGATAGGATGTAGCTGGAGGAGATGTAGCTGTAGTAAAGAGAGCTCTCTGACTCCTAATCATCATGTCTGGAGCCACTTCCCTCCACCACACTCTTTTGTCACGATGTTCTTGGAGCCCTGAGGAATGGAGCCAGCTGACTATGGACTAAGAAATTGCAAGCTACAAATAAACTTTCCTCCTCTAAACTTGTTTTTGTAAGGTCTTTTGGTCACAGTTGTGTTGTGAGAAGCTGAAAATAAGTGGGAATGCATAAATGTGTACAACAAAGGAGAAACACTGAAGAAGTTAAATGTCCTCATATATGAACAGTACCTGACTTTGGACTGACTGCAATACACTCTATGCCCCTGCACAATGGGCAAGGTAAGGCAAATCTTAGGTACCACCAGTTTAGCAGTGCATCTGCTTATAGAAGGTTTCATTACAATCAAATTGTATTTGATTAACACAGTGAAATCCACCTATGTCACCAGGGCCCAACGTTTTCTTTCACAAACAAGATTGAGTCCAAAATCCTTATAAGTAATATCAAATTATTTTACCCAAATGCCACATAGAACTATTTTTTCTAGAGCTTTCCCTGTGTATA